GTGATAACGAATGGATGAGTAAAAATGAAAGGAACACTTCAAGACAAGCATACTTATTGCATTAAGATTTCCGTTCAAAAATAGACAAGTTTATATATACAAGCGATGTTTAAACAAACAAGCAAGAATGAAAATGAAAATGCAGTAAAGAAACCAATAATTGCCATTGTTGAGGAGACTTGACTCCGTATGGACTTGCTGATTCTGACGAATTTCTGTAGTCTTGATGCTCGAGTGTGAGAGAGAATTCCCCTCTAATCTGATGTGAACACAACAGTCTCTGAATTAATCCAGCCTTGGACTTGGTCTCTGGATGACATACCATCTTCAATCGATTGGCCAGGTGCCCCAGTATAATATGCATCACCAAGAATATCATGTCTTAAGGAAATAATACACATCACCATCAGAGTTTCCATGACCTGGCTTATCTGAGTCTTTAATCAATTATCTTCCTGCTTGAAGAAATTTTTTACCACGGGCCAAAGCTTGCATGTACCACTCAGAGTTATTCTGCATCTCATCCCTAAACATGTGTGGTGAGAAATCACGTTGAACCTCTGAAGAAAACCCCAGGTCTGAATAAGAATCCCCAATCTTCGGGTACCTGCTATGAATGCATGAATATGCATGGGGCGTATGAATGAATGCCATGTCATGTTCTGTCATTTCCAAGGAATTTGCATGCTTTGATTTTGATTTTGCGCAACTAAGGGATGGAAAAGTTTAGCACAAGACTTGCAAATGTGATTCCTTGGAAATAATAGAACATGTATGTTAAGCATGCGGTTAACCATGTTATGTATGCAAAGGCATGAGATCAAAGAGGATCAAGGTTCCATTATTTCTGAATATGATTGCTGCACTATTCTGAACCATATGAGTATCATCAGATCAAAGGTCCGACATAGCTTCTGCACATATAAGAAACAAGTACCATGTGGATCTCCCATTATACGGGGTCAAGGCTTCTGGAACATCGGATACTGTTGAGAATTTCTGAACATGCTGGGAATACCAAGATTGAAGGCTTGAATGAACCTCCAGGTAAACAAGTCAGAAACTCAGAAAATAAATCTAAGAACCATACGGTCACCAACAGAATATAGCATCTGCATAAAGTCATAATAGAAATCCAGATCATAGCCATTAGAACCAATAGTTACCGTCTAAGCGTAGTCACCATCCGAGCATGAGTAACCATCTGAACATAGTCACCATCTGTACTTGTAATAAGAATTCCCTCCCCACTCACGGGTGAAAACTAGGTCAAGGTAAGGCAATGGTAACTCAGAATCGAGGGTACTCCTGAAAAACTATCTTCGTATCACCTACGTGAAAATGATAGCCCCTCATTTGTACCTCATCTGAGCGTGGCAACATGGCGGCGATAGTGAGACCTAAGTCAACTAGCCGTTCATGTTCCACTCTATTCCTAGGGTTCTTATAGTATACAACTCTGGCCTGGGTATTGGGCCTTTTACCTCATAGTAACACCCACCCAATAAGAAGCAGATCCAGTACAATAGTAGTATATGGAAGACAGTAAAATGCAATGCATACATATGCTCAAGTATATACAAAATGAATGAATAAACTGAAAGCATAAAGATAAACACCCAAATGAAAGAAAGCAAGATCAGGGAGCGACTCCGGGATGGACCAGCATTTGGTCGACCTGTCACCAGTGAAGTCGCCAGCTGAAATAACCGGCTGAAAATCATCAAACAATGAAGTCGCCATCGAACGTATTTTATCCCACATTTAGGGAAAGGTAAACATCGAGAAAACCTGAGAAGGGAGAAGTCACGGTCTTGCAACCGAGAGATCGGGTATGGGAGTCTGTTACACGAGTGGAAGGTATTAGCACCCCACATGCCCGTAGTACTCTATGGTATCCACTCTTGTTGTCTATCTTATGGGTGTGTTTAACCTATGCTTACTGTTTACTATACTACTGAAGGGAAAATGCAAGCAAAAGAAAGGAGGAAAGAATGTAGGGAAAATAAAATTGTGCTCGCCTGAGCCCTACCCCAATGCCTACGTATCCTTTTTGAGGAATCAGAGCTACCGTAGTTCGGCTCATATGTTTTTGTTTGTTTTGTGTTTTTTATGGAGGAAGTTAATTCCGCCTTCTGTCGCAGCTCGACCTTTGGAGACTTATGCATTGGCACAAAAGTAAACTAATCATTTCCTTACCTGAAAAGGGTTTTTAAAGAAAGGTGCTCGAGCGCACAAATGGTTTGAGTTGGTTTATATTTTTGTTACCTTGAAAAATGGTTTAACTATGATTAACATGTTTTTGATTTGCTAAGAAGATAAGTTTTTGTTTTTAATGCACATGCAAAAGGGAAGAAAAGAGTCTAAGGGAGACTAGCCTATTTCTAAACCTAATGTTATCATACAGTGGTAGTCCTATGTCAAGGATGAAAGGGGAAGTTTCTACCTAATGTCAGCATGCATGGTTTGCAATCTAAGGTCTATCTTGCGTCCGAACGGAGCAAGCGCATCCTAAGGAAACATGGTATGTACAAGGATAAAGAAAGCAAGAAAGCAAACAGAGCACACCTAAAGAGATCCTGCCTAGGTTGACATGTCGAAGAAAGTCTAACAAAACTATCCTATAGGGAACATGCGATGAGAGCGAAGTCGTGATCTCAATTTCTAAATCGAGTGACTAATAAATCGGCATGAAATAACAGAAAGCAATAAAATCCTATAGGGAGCATGCACTGAGAGCGAAGTCGTGATCTCAATTTCTAAATTGAGTGACTCATCGATCAACAAGAAAGTAAACAAAAACAAGCACAACACTTATGACAAATGAAGTGTGGAATGCCTGCTACAGGTCTTTAAACAGCGACTTCGAGCGCACGCTCTTTATTTCCTACTTTTCATGGTATCTAGAAAGTGGTAAACTGCAGAAATAAAATAGAGTTGTGACAATACCGAACGGAGAAGGTCCGTTGCCTCTTCATAACCATGCAAGCCATAAGAAAACTCTACAGAAGCCTCCTTGAATTCCTTGATGAAAATTATGCTCTTAGCTAGTTTTGAAACTTCATGAAACTCCTCACTCAAGTCTCTTTTATTTCAAAATCTCACACAAAATTGGCATTAAAATCTACCAAAAACATGGATAAAATAACAAACAAAGTTAATAAAAGAAGTAAAATTCTATTCTAATATTTTTTTGAATTTTTATCATGTGAACAATTAAGAAAAAAAACCATATAGAAATATGACACAAAATTATTTAAGAAATAATAGAAAGTATTCAGGGGGTGCATTGCATAAGAAGGAAGTGGATAAAGCCCAATCAGGATGAGTCCAGGATATTGTTTTTGTGATGAGATCCTATTATACAAAAAGGTTATGGGCCAAGATAAGTGGTTCCAGCCCAACAGCTTGCCACCAATATTCACATCACATTCTTTTTTCATAATACTATTGTTATTATATTTATTTTGAAAAATAAATCAAAAAGATAAAAGAAAATTAAACAAGGGAATGGAGATGGATTTAGGGTTAGATATGTTGTTCTTCTCCTCTCAGAACACAAAATGGCGTCGCTTTCTCCCCTTGTCTCATCTATGTTTTCACGCAGCGGAGGCCTTGCCTTTCACCATCATCAACTTCATCCAAACTCCCTTCCTCCTCTTCTCTCTCTCGTACCACGCCGCGGCGACCTCACTTCCTCTACGACTAAAGCCTAGAGTCTCCGCAATGACGAATTCGGCCATCACATAACATCGTCTCGACTTCATCCTTTAAATCTTTAGACTCATCTCGCCTAGCATCTTCGCTGTCTCGAAACCGCCTTCACCCCTCATCTTCCGTTCGCGAAACGAGAATCTATTGGGGACACTCTAGCGGCTATCCAATGGCGCTGAAATCACGCCGAAAACCAGAATATCATTCAGGTAACTCTTCTTGTGCTCTTCTCAGTACTGCTCTAAATCGGCCTTCTTCTTGTGTCGATCTTCCACTTTTCTTGCATATTTTTGTGGTTGAGTGTGTGTGTATTGATGTAGAGGGAATTATTAATACGAAGCAGAAAGACAAAAATGTGTGTTGAAACAGTATATTGTAGAATCGTGATGTTGATGATAGAGATGAAAATGCCTTGGTTTTGTTGCGATGATGAAAAACTACGGATTGGAGCAATGATGCTGATGAAGCGCTATACATGTTGCAGTGATAGATCCGCTTAAGATTGAAATGAAGAATGGTGGAGATTGATGGTGATGTGGTGAGAATTTTGTGAAGCTTGTCACAAATTGTTGAAGATGCTGACTCGTGAAGATGGAGAAACCAGAAAAATTGTAGAGATGATGAAGATTTGAAGACTAAAGGTTCTTCAGAGAAAAGTGCAGAACTGTGATTGAGAGAGAGGGTTGAAGATTCCAGGTGAGCTCTTCTGCAGTTATATCTGAATTTATATTCTGTTATAATTTTTCTTGTGAATGAATCCCCTCTTTAGTTCTGTTATCTCTGCTGGAAGTTGTTATCGTTAGGATTGGTTTTGATTTTCTGTTATGGTCTGTAAGTTTGTTACAGGAGATTGGATTCTAGCCTTGGATTCTGTTATGAGGTTAGAAAAAGTTAGTTAGGGATTTATTTTCTGTTATGACAGTTGGATGCGGTTAGCACGAATTAGTTATGGAAAATTCTTTTATATAAAGCTAGTTAGGAAATTGGGTATAGGTTAGTTATATGGTTTTTTGTTTTTGTTTAAAAAAATAGTTAAGGGTTGTTTTGGAATTGGTTGAAACTGTTAAAGGGTTATTTTGGAATCAGAATGAAATTGTTAAACATTTGCTAATTGTTTTGAATTTTTTCCTAAGCTAGTTTTATTAATTTGATACAGGGCTGAACTTGTATTTTGACTAATGTATGGCCAATTGTTTTAAGAATAATTCCTCTGTCAACTATCTCGTCAAGACATAAAAGAATGAGATCCAAGTTCTCAAGTGCCTCACCTTTGTCAACATTGCTCCTCAGCAAAAGGGTGACTGCATCGAAGAAACCCTGAAGATCTGATGCCAAAGCTCATTTTCATCATCACCGCCAGTGACAAAGAAATGTAGGTCTTGCACAAATTTGTAAACAATGATATTGTTCTCAAGCAGTGTTATCTCAGCTTCAGTCTGCGCATTTGTCTTAACAGTCTTAGTGAAAACAAAACTTCTCAAAAGATAATTTTGAACTGTTTGTTGGCCAGTCATATGAGTAATACTTAACTGTCACACGCTTCCCTTCAGAATCTAAAAGAAGAATGTTTTTAACCGGAGGACACAAGTTGTTGGATGCCATGTCCAAGGAGAGGAGAAGGAAGATGCAGTGTGTGTTTGTTGTTTTGATTTAGTAATTTTGGATGTAAATGGCCTTTGTAATTTTCTCTTGTAATGCTCCAATAACATAGCTTGTAAATTGCAAGGTTATAACCGAGAATGATGTTGGATAACACTTTGACAAATCATGCATGATGTTTAGAACTTGTAAAGATCATATCGTTGAATGAACATGAACCCTTGGATCTTGATGAGTTTTGATGAACAAAACTAATTGATTAACTTTGAATGATGTTATGACTTATAATTCTTTGCAAATTCGTAACTTGTACACCAAGAGAACCACATGAACGAATCTTCCAACCTTATCTTTAATAAACCATTGCCAAATCACGAAACTGAACCCTTGAACTAATATCAATCTTGAGCATAATTAGAAGTTTCAACGAATCCAATTCAATAATCATCAGCAATCCAAGTTACTTGCGATTTAGGTAACAAGTATTCGAAAGAACGATGAAGTTTCGAAATCAATGTACTTACAACTTCATGCTATATACACGGCTTGCATTTTACAATCCAATCCACACTATATCTTGACTTCATGGACAACAACAATGTCTTGAGGGCGCTTCGAAGTACAAAAAGAAATGTAACATGAAGCCCAATGAACCTTAGTCAATAGATACTACAAATTCTAACATAGAAGATGTGACACCCTAATCAACTTATGTTTGATGAATTCTTAATGGAGGATGATCTTGTAGCTTGATGAAGAAAATATCCACAACATCCATGAACACAAAACCCTAATTCTGCAATTTCACTGCCTTGAAAAATAACCGGAAGAATCAGGCTCTACTTGAACATATACACCTTAGCCAGTTGATAAAACCATAATCCTGAAGGTTCTCGACCCCTTGCAAAGTTATGTTGTTAGCGAATGTATGCAATGTTAAATGACCTAATGGACATATGTACATGAGAAAAGCGCGACAATGCATAAACCAGATAAAAGTAGAAGGGTAGGACAAATTTGGGGTATTACACTTGGTCGGTTGTAATTGTTCCTGAAATCCTAAACCGACATATGATGTGATTTTGTCTAAAATCAATAACAACTTCTTGATCGATATTTGTTAAGGCTACTGCCTCGACCCATTTTGTAAAATAATCAATACCAATTAAAATATACCTTTGCTGTTTTGATGACGCTGGTTTCATTTATCCAATCACATCTAAAGCCCATCCTCTAAATGGCAAGGGTTTTATAATTGTATGTAATTCACTTGCAGGAACATGTTGTATGCCCCCATGCACTTGGCATTCTTGACAACCTTTAGCAATTTCGATGCAATCTTTTAGCATTGAAGGCCAATAGACACATGAATGCACCAAAATCCATTTCATTTTGTGATGTGCTTGATGTGCGCCACATGATCCACTATGCACATTTGACACTGCTACATATGCCTCACTTTCTCCAAGGCATTTAAGCAATATTCCTTCAGAGATTTTCTTAAATAATTTGTTCTCTATCAAAACATAACTGAGGGTGCGATACTTGATCTTACAATCTGTAGACCCCGTAGGGATGCACAGATAGTCGGCGAATGGCTTTCTCCATTCATTCTCTTTCCCATTATCAATAGTTAAAATCTGAAAATTTTCGGCATCTACAGCCCCTAACATTATTATTGACAAATCTGAAGGAGATAACCAAGTTGCTCGAACTTTCTCTCTTACCTGAATAAGTTCTTCATTTTGGTCTTTCTTGTATCCTTAAGCTTCTTGTGCTAGGTCATTAGCCTCTTCATTCTCTCGTCGAGGTATGTGTCGAATACTCACTTGCTTAAATTGCTTTAACAATCTAATAGTAATCACAAAATACATGAATAAATTTTCTTTAACACATTTGTATTCCTTTGATACTTGTTTAATTACTAATTCTGAGTCTCCCATAATTTTGACGTTCCTTGCCCCCAATTCTAGTAGTAGTTCAAGTCCTGTTATTAAAGACTCGTATTCTGCTTCATTATTTGTATATATACCGTCGATTCTATACTTGAACTCTGCTGAAATTCCACTGGGGGAAATTATAATTCCTCCTATTCCAAATCCATTTTTATGTCTAGAACCATCAAATTGTAATTTCCATGGCGCTAGATCTACATAATTTTGAGGCATACCAAACATTGAATGGTCGGCCAAGAAATCTGCCACCACTTGTCCCTTCATTGATTTTAAGGGCACATAAGTCAGGGAATACTCTGCTAATGCTAAAGCCCATTTACCAATTCGACTATGTAAAATCTGTTTGGACAACATGTGCTTAATAATATCAAAATGAGAAGATACATACACATCAACAAACTTTATATATTGCTTTAATTTAATACAAGAGAAACACAAGCAAAGGCATAGTTTTCTATATCACTACACCTAGTTTCAGGATCATTAAGCATTCGACTAAGATAATATAGAGGTCTCTCGACACCTTTTTCGTCCTGTTGGACTAAAATACTTCCTATAGTCGAATCTGAGGCTGCAATATATAACCTCATAGGCTTATGTCTAACAGGAGGTGCCAATATTGGAGGCTTCACTAAGTAGTATTTGATTTTGTCGAAAGCCTCTTGATGCTCCTCTTGCCAAACAAAATCCTCATTCTTTAATTGAAGTAGTGGTGAAAATACTTTGGTTTTTCCACATAAGTTGGATATGAACCTCCTTAGGAAATTTATCTTGCCCAACAAAGACTGAAGTTCCTTTTTGGTCGATGGAGGTTTGACATCCATGATGGCTTTGGTCTTGCTTTGATTCACTTCTATGCCTTTTTTATGCACCACAAAGCCAAGAAAATCACCTTCCTACATACAAAAAGCACATTTTAATGGATTCATTTTAATCCATATTTCCTCATCCTTTCAAAAGACTCTCGAAGGTGTTGCAGATAAATCAATTTACTGTTCGACTTTATTACAATATCATCAATATAAACTTGCATGAAATCTTCAATAAAATCATGGAACATAGAATTAATTACCCTTTAATATGTCGCTCCAACATTTTTCAAACCGAATGGCATGACAACCCATTCATAGGTTCCCAGTGCCCCTTGGCAGCGAAACACCATCTTCGGCACATCTTCATCTGCAATCAAAATTTGATTATAACCAGAATAACCATCAAGCATACTTAAATATTCAAAATCGGCAGCATAGTCGACCAATATTTCTGCCATAGGCATAGCATATTCATCTTTCAGAGTGGAAGCATTTAAATCTCTAAAATAGATGCACACTCTTAATTTTCCATTTTTCTTAATTACTGGCACTATGTTTGCCAACCAGTCGACATACCTTGCAGTTCTTATGAATCTTCTTTTGAGGAGTCTTTCTATCTCCTCTTTAATTTTAGACATTATTGCTGGAGCGAAGCGTCTGGGAGTCTGCTTCACTGGTTTCTTTCCAGCTTTTATTGGTAACTTTAATTCGACCAAATCCCTGTTAAACCTGGCATTTCGTTATAGTCCCAAGTAAAATAATCTTTAAATTATTTTAATAAAGATATTACCTCATACTTTAACTTTTGGTCGATGTTGGCGCTGATATAAGTTGGTCTTTTATCCCCCTTTTTGCCAAGATTTATTTCTTCTAAAGGGTCTTGTGGCTGCATTATTTCTGGTGCCATCGAATCCTTTTAGAAGCCTAAGAGTTTTTCGCCATATATGCAGTCCAGACGTTGCTTATCGATGTTTTCTTCGACCACTTCTTTTTTATCTGGTGGCTTTGGCTCAATAGCCAAAGTAGCTCCCTAATTTAGAATTTGTGTCTTATTGGCTCCGACAGTCATATTTTCTTAAGCCTCTAGCGCCGAATTTATTTTACTTTCGGCAATATACATCGAAATCCTTTTCAGGGCATCTAGCTCAAACATCATCACTGATGTCTCCCCATCCTGTCGGCCGGTTGTCACAGTATGGATCCTTAAGATATTCTACATCCCATATAAAACCATGGGTCTCATGTAACTTCAATGAAACAAATGGCTCATCAAGGTTGGCATACACATCTTCATCATGTTGACATGGGGAAATGTTAGCTAATTTTCTATCAAATTGCTTCTTGCTGACATTGTTCATGTCTGCCCTGAAATATCCTTGATCAGCTTCAATGTTCTCGACAATACCATCTTCCCTCCAAATCACCAAACGTTGGTGCATAGAGGATGGTATATCCCCTACACCGTACAACCATTCCCTCCCTACTAAGAGGTTGTAACTTGTCTTGCCTTGAATCACCATAAATATAGTCGGCCTAGTAACGGAGCCGACAGTAATATCAACTTGGATTAAACCCATAGTGTTTCTAGTCCTTCCTTCATAGTTTGATAAGACCATGTTATGAGATTTAACATCAGTGTCATATTTACCAATTTTATGCAATAGTTGGTGTGGTATAATGTTTACCGTAGCACCATAGTCTACCAACACCTTGTTGATAGCCACCCCTTCAAGCTTAGCCCTTATTAAAAGAGGCTTCAAATGGCTCCTCATAGCCATATCTGGTCTTTCAAAGAACGCATATTGGGTCTCAATCAAACCATTATTCATCACAAAGTAACATGTTGGCTTGTGTAAAGCCATCTCCTCAGCATCAACGTCTGCTGAATCTTCCACTTTAGTTAAGAAATCATATTCTATTGGAAGAATTGATACCATATTAACTAAGATATTCAAACTCTCTTTAGACTCGGACTCAACATTATCAGTAGCTTCTCCAGAACAATTAGCAACTAGTCGACTCACGAAATCTTTGATTTGTTCTTTTGCAGAGGAATCGACCTTCACTTTATACTACTTCTGATTTCCAGCTTTGTTTGCAGCAATCTAGCCAGCAGATGCTTTCCTTTCAGCCTGCTTTTGACGCTGGAAATGTCTCCATTAGGTTCGAGTCATGGGATTCTTTGTAACACCCCAATTCTACCCGACAATTATATAAATAAATTAGAGTCATAAAA